GAGAGAGAGAGAGAGAGAGAGAGAGAGAGAGAGAGGGGGGGATATAGAGGCAAACGCGACCGATTCCGCCCAGTCGAGCGACGCAGTGCGAATAAATCTAAGGTCGATTTTCGCTGACCCCGTCGATTCCAGCGCGCCGAGCATATGCGAGAGCAAAAATGTAGCGATCGACGCGCGAGAGCGGGCGCGAATCGATTCGAATCGACTTCGCCGGGAAACGGGACACGCACGCGGAGATGAACACTTTCATAAATAAATCGTCGATAATCGTCGATAACCTTAATTAATCGCGATTTTTATTAATTACCTCGATTATCGAGCGCGAATAACAATCGCGGATAATTAGCTGTTCAGCGATCGTCCGGCGCTATCGCCGGCTCGTGTTTCGAAGCGACGAATAATTAGTCCGTCAATTAAGAGTAAAGCGATGTGAGCGCTAGCGCAAAATAACATTTCGCGCGGTGCCGCTTTCTCGTGGCGAGAGAGAAAGAGCGACGAGCGGCAGAGAGAGAGAGAGAGAGAGAGAGAGAGAGAGAGAGAGAGAGAGAGATAGAGCAAGATAACACGATAGGAGGCAGGGGATGAGATAGATAAGTGTCGCGCAGTTTGTTTTTTGCCACGTTGTATCTTAGCTGAAGATGCGAGGGAGCGATTAAAGTTTTCAGCGCGCTATCGGCAGCGAGCACCTCGAGAATCATGACGCACTTTGTAAACCATACCGCTCGTTACGTTAACGCAAAAAGAAGAGTTTGATCTGTCTCGAGATATTTCCCCGCTGTAAATCGCGATTATAGCTTGGGCGACTCGCTTTTGCGTATCTTCAATTTCATCGAGACACCGCGGGCGGAGATACGATCCCGACATCTCTGAATAATTTTACGAGAGAGTAAAACGGGGCAAAAAAGAGGAACAAGACGTAGAGAATTCAGTCCACGACTCTGCGATCCACGACTGTGAGAACTCATTACGATGGAAACACTCTTAAACCTTACATCGCGGTGAAATTCGCATTTTAGCCGACAACTTAACATTTAAATTAAACAAATCGAGCTGAAGTCAAGCGCGGTTTCTTATTAGTGGCGTGCGCGTGGTCTACACAAAGTTTAATTAAAGGAGTACAAGACGTGAGAGCGAGTACTCTCCCGCTTGTCGAATAATTACGTGCGAGTCCGTTGTTATCCGAGCTTTGTTTCCATGTAGATACCGGCATACTGAGCGACGTAAGAAGCGT